ATTTATATATGTTTCTGCATTTTAGACATATATTATCCATTTTGTGTTTAATATCGTCTTTTAAAAATAATATTCTGGCCAATAATAATTGTTTGCCGAGTCTAGTTATAAAAAATTCAAATGTTATCACATATAATTATAAAAAAAGGAATTAAAAGCCCGAACAAATAATTTGAATCAAAATTTACATTAAAATTTAACTTTAATTTTAAACAACAATGAATGAAATAATTTTTATTAAAGATTTAATAACAAATATATACATATATTAGAAGCTTGTGGAAAAAAATATTTGGAATATTATTTATTGGAATATTATTATACAGATTATTGTATCCCAACACCGTGTTCATCAGGCCTTTCATGAGCTTATCTCTCTGCTTCCCGAATGTGATATCGTCGAAGACGCGCATCACGTGAGCTGTCACAGGCCTGTGCCTCTGTAGGTCAAAGTCGCCGCTGAAAACTTTGATGAGCTTGTGTGCTGGGTTGAAGATGCATTCGGTGAAGAGCTGGGTTTTTCTGTCTTCGATTACGCGAAGAGGAAGAATGTGTGTCCTCGTTGTTTCGCTTGTGTAGGTCTCGAGAAGCCGGACCTTGATAACGTACTTGAGCGTGCCGTCATGGAGTGGATAGGACGGCTCAATGTGTGTCTCATAATACTCGCTCATCCGATCGCTGTAGTCGCGGTTGTAAGTTTCGAGCATTTTGCTTTCACAATCTTTGTTGCGAAAGCAAAAAGATTAGGGCTTGTATAGAAAGGGTCAAATAAATATAATTCAAAATAATAAATTAATTATCTTTCAATGTTTCAAGTTTTTGAATTATTGTTTCAATTGTTATCCTTTCAATAGGATTTTGTTTCCAACACTCACAAATCAATTCATACTGATTGTCCTTAATATTTTTGTTTTGTATTGGTCGATTTCCAGCGATGACATATTCGGCTATTTTCCATGGGAATTTGAACAAATCTTTTGTGTAAGCTTCGCACCATCCAAAACACTCAAACATGGTAATTGCAAATGAAAATACATCAGCATTTTTCTTGTATTTTTCTTTCATCAAAATTTCAGGAGCCATGTAAGTCGGTGTTCCAATACCCTTAGTGAATGTCA